GACTACTCCATGGAGACAAGTTTCTGGATTGCAGGGACGCATTTATAATTTGTTAGAGATTTCCGTATTCCCAAGGAATGTTCATGCCAAGCGAACCGTTTCCAGTAGGACTGCTGCCTCCACCTTCATTCAACCGGGCACTAATGTCTCCTAGGGTGTTTGTGCGGAAAATCCTCGCAAATTTCGGAAATGTCGACGCCTGAAGCATCATGATTTCTGCCCATATCCCCTCGGGAAAATCCCAGTCTAGCCCATGAAGTCGGATGGGTCAGGATTTGGGTGGGTCTCTCCAGAGGCTCACAACATCTCTCCCTGAAAATTTGTTATATTGGTCTCATCTTCCTCAGAGTTTCTAAATATTGATGGAAAATTATTGATGTTGCNGGATTGTGAAGGAAGGGTCAAGCAAGAAAATTTTTTTTTGGGAAGTAGTGAGACAGCGGTGTCCTGGCGCCTCGCATCTCCCATACACGGGAAGAGAAGTCTAGACATGGAAAAAAAATGAGTGAGAGAGGGAAAGAAGGATCACGCTTCGTACAGTACGCAGGCCATTTGAGGCACAACTGGGAAAAATCCTATAATTCCTACCAAATCCTACCGGTTCACCTGGAAAGGCGATGTAAGTGTTATCTGGTTATTTCATCACTCCTTTGACTCTGAGGAAAGCAGCTCGTGATCGTAGACGATGAAAGAGGCATGCAGGAGAAACGCGGTCGATTGCTGCAACATGGCCTCAGTCAAATCGTTCTTGGTCAGAGGAGACTCAACACATTCGAGCATGATTCGACAGCCAATTTTCATAGTAGTTTCGAAATATAATGTTCTCAGAGCCGGATTAAAGGGGGGGGGGGGCAAAGAGGGCAGTTGCCCCAGGCCCCACTCTTCCAAGGGACCCCCCGAAGGAAATTATAAACGTAAAGTTAAAAAAGTATTGTATTTGCGATAAGTAGCGGGGGGGGGGACAGGAATTCACTTGCCTCCCAACTTAATCCGGCCCTGATTGTCCTCGTTTTGAGGGTACTCGGTCCAAAGGGTTGAAATAATTCCTCATCCCGATTAGGTCCTCTTTCCAAGTCTCGGAGATGCAAAATATTGTGACGGATCAAGATGGCATATCCCGGCCGTTCCTTGGCTTTATTTCGGCCTCTCACGTCTTCCGTCGTCCGTCCATCGTTCCTGCCTCCGTAAAAATGCCAGAAAGTGCCTTCGTTCCTTGGGAGAGAATGAGAGAGGAAATATTTAAAAGCCCTTTTGTCCATTAATTTGTATGTATTTTCCTCCTTTGAGCTCTCCCTTCGTTGCGTAGGATAATTTGGATTCCTTATAAAGTTTTCCTGACCTGGTAATTTGGATTCCTAAAGTTTACCTGATTCATTCATTCCTGTGAATTTTTGTTTCCTGTCTGTAATTTAATGCCCCCAAAATTAACAACCGTGCCGAAGGACATTCATCCGTACCCATGTTTTCATAAGGAATGCCTTCAGGAGAGAGTAGACAGGTTGGGGGCGAGCGGCGACGTGCCGAGAGGACTCTCAGAAGGGGGAAGCGAAAGCGGAGCATTTGATAATAAAAAAAAGGCGTAAGAGGTACAAGGAAAAAAAATCAAAAAGCGATAGGCGCCAGTTGAAGTCGCGTCGGTCCACCTTCCCCTTTTCACTCACACAAACACACAATCACGAGCACACACAAGTCAGTGCGAAGCGGGAGGGAAGTCAAAGAGGGAAGAGCTGCGAGCGAGCATTCAAGTTTTCATGCAAATCGGTAATTAGCCCTTTATAGGTCACTGGGATAATAGTTTCCCACCTCCCATCTCACATGCACGCAGCGAGGCATCCCTTTCTCGCTAATGCGAGGAATTGAATTGTAGCACTGCCATGACGGAAACATATTTCCATAATTGATTGAAATATGACTTAATAGTCACATTTCAATGTGACTATTAAGTGAGAATATTTCTTGTGAGAATATTTCTCACTTACCATTATTGCACAGCAAAGCCAGTTTCTTGTGATTTCCAAAACAGGAAGAACCTATATCTTGGAAAATTCCCAATTTATTAGACTGAAACATTATTATTTCAAATCATCATGAGTGAGACAAAAAAGTGTTTCTGCATATAACTGTATAATGAAATTCCACATCTCAATGGCATATACTGCTTCCAGCCCCATCATATCATTGAGTTCTATGTACGCTCATCATACAGGAGTTGCATTTGCCCTATGCATTTTGTATCTCAGACATGTTGGAAATATGTATTGCAAAAATTTGTTTACAGTATAGCCCTGCCATAGGCATTCCAGATGGAATTTTTTGTCATTGGGTCTTTAACTTTGAGCTTTTCTGCGACTCAATCATTGCATTGCTCATGATTCTTAAATGTTCTAGGTTGGTAACTATTTTTCGGCAAAGCGGAAAAAAAAATTATTTGAACCCTTTTTCTTTTGTATTAATACTTTTGCTTACAGTTGACAGAAAAATGACATTCAGACATGCAGATGTAATGAAGCTTCTTGAAGGAGCTGAAATTGATGATGAGCAAGCTGTTCTGATGTTGGAGGTGATTCAGATGCAGACGACAACTTACCCATTGAAACACCTAACAGCAACTGGAGTTTAACAAAAGGGGAGAGTTTCCAGGATGATGTTGCTTCTAATTTGATAAAATCTTGTCAGTATCATGAGGAAAATGACAGTGACTCCTGTTCTATAACTTTGGGAAGAAATATCGGAGCACACAGCCACGGACATGTATGTTTGGAACATGAATCAGATGATGCTGATAGCGACACTGACTACCACCCCTCAACCCATGCCAAAACTAGTGATAGTGATAACTCTGATGAACAAGTTGAGGCGAATGTGTCAGTTTCACACACCTGGAGTAAATATGCAAAAGAACCTGATTTGTATAAAAATAATGTACTTTCACAACCATCTGGACCTAAGAAAACTCCAGACAACGTATATAGTCCAATCCAATTTTTCCTGCTGTTGCTGACTGAGGTATTTCTTCTAGAAATTGTAAGCCAATCTAACTTGTATGCACAAGATAATTGTATTTATGGGTCTTCATCCACTACCAAGTATGATACTATACTGGTCTATGGATGAAAATTTCCACATGGAGAGGATTGCACGCGTGATGCCTCTCAGGCATTTCCTAAATGTTGCTCGATACTTACATCTGCCTGACAACTGTAAGATGCCAATCTGAAGGACTTCCAATTTTGATCAATTGTATATAATACGTCCACTCTAAGAGCACCTCAAGAATACATTTGTGTCCGCCTTCACCCCTTCCCGGTTCGTCTCAGTAGATGAGAGCACTGTGGTATTCAACGGCAGATCAACCATGAAGCAATATATATGACCCTAAAGTCAATAAAGCGAGGCTTCAAAGTTTGGATCTCATGCTGCGCTCTTACTGAATTACGAATATATTAATATGTTATCATTCGAGGTGTACACTGGTAAAGATAGAGATAGTGCTGTGACACTAAATCTGGGTGAGAAAGTGGAAAATTTATCATTTGTGCTTTTCTGTTAAATAAAACACTAGACGAACCTACAAGCTCATTTTAAAATTTTTTCTTCCACTCCCAGTGTTTTGTCCTATAAAGGGTTAAAGCCTCGCATTCTCTATCCCTTTGGAGACAGTAAACAATCTTGGTGTCATTGGATCCGTGAAACATCCCTCTATGGGATAGGCACAAAAAATCCTGCATTCTTGGCCGGTGAGAAGAGAAAATCGACCTGGAATGGAAGAAATGACCTAAATCGTCAAAGAGGCCGCAGGGAAAATCGATAGGCTTCTAGGATAGCGAACGGATTCTCATGAAAATTTATATTATGCTAGCCAAGAGACGTTTACCAGAGGAATTTTTTAAATTCAGCCTCGTTTTCGAGTATTGTCCGTCAACGTCGCGTCCCTTCCAAAAAAGTGAATTTTTCAGGCGGATCACCGAACACTGAGGGGTAACGGTAGGAGGAAACCATGCGCAACTCAGCAAAAAGGTGGACCATATTAGCCTCCAAAAACTGGAGCATGCTTTTGCCGATAGAAAATTCCTACGAGGAATGAGAACGAGAAAGCAGAATCCGAAAACAGAAAAATTCTCAGTTATGGCGTCTCGGGAACGACAGTTGCATACGATTATTTATTTATTCCATATAGCGCTGTATGTCTCAAGGAGAATGGTGCAAATTTCACGTTTCTGCGACCAAGGGTTGGGGAGATGGAGATTTTCAAAGAGAAGAATGCAAATTTTGACCTTTTGACCACAGATCATGGCCCCAGGGGTGACCTGAGAGAGTCAGCAATCGGTTCCAAGGCCCTTTCTTGAGGTCCCTTACAACAATTATAGAGCGGAATTTTGATCCTGGGGGTCGATATTTATGTCCCCGTAGTACCTTAAGGGATAACGTTCAAATTCACAAAGTGGTACGTTTTGGATCCATGGCAGATGTGTTACGTCATCAGGGAACTCTAAACTGGATATATGCACATTGTTAGCGAGTTCCGCCTCGTACCATTCAAGCGAAACATGTAGCTGATCGGGCGGCAACTCGGTTGGCAACAGGTTTATTATTGGCTGCAGGCGAATACGTTATCAGAGGTTATATGTTATCCAGCCACATATAGATACTGGAGGAACGTAATGACTCATGAGAGCCCATAACAAGCCAGCACGAATGCGACGTTATGGGATAGCGCGAAGCATCAGCAGAGCCGCTTATAAGAGGGACGAACCCAGAGACCCCGAGTTTTGAAGTATTGTGGCCTAGGCTGACTTTGGGCCAAACCGACCGGTCCACGGTTGGGGTCGGCAAAGTTCGCTGCTCAATCGAATTTCCGGTTGGGTACGACCACGATTAAAAATCGGCCAATGAAGTCGACTTCGAAAAAGTCGAACCTGTGCATGCCTCCGACGTCCAAACATACGGAGGATTTCCGCTATAATAATATGCAGGGTGTATAAGTAACTCCCTGTCTCGAAATGCTTGTAAATCTTTTTTTTAAACGAAATTTAATGAAGCACACTTTGAATTATGCACCAGTTAGTGAGGTTTTAATTCGTCTAATCTTCACACTTGCGCATATGCCTCTGCATTGTCAACGCATTTTCTTAAGCGAACAGGTACGTTCCCACAGATGATCGAAACAAGTGTCGAGGTACGTTATGAAGAGCATTGTTGGTTCTTTTTTCAAGTTCGTTAGGAATTCATTCAGTTCACTAAGAACGAGTGCCTGCCCGAACTGATTCACCAGAATTCTTGTAAACATTGCGTTAAAATTTTCAATGTTTAGAGGTGTTCGCGAGGTAGATAGTCGTCATGACTTGGTCTTGTTCGTCACTGAACCAGATCTCATTTACTACAGATTAAATTTATTTATTGTATTCGCATCCAGTCCAGCATGAGCACCATGTTCAACCCTCCGCTATCGCTAAACTTTAATTATTGATCCCCAAACCTCATAATAGGCAATTATTTTGGCTATTTGTTTAACTGTTACTGTGTCAGCCATTCTTTAACCTGAAACAAAAACACAAACGAAAATAAAAGCCCCAGTGCTTGGTGCATAATTCACAGTTTGTTTTATTAAATTTCATTTAAAAAATAGTTGCAAGCAATTCAAAGTAGGGAGTTACTTATCATACTCGTACACCCTGTAGATAGATCGCACCTGCGTCCCACGGGATCCGACACCTCAAATCCAGGTCGGGATGACTTCCGAAGTGGACTGCCTGCAAAATGGTTCAAGAGATATATCTCATGAAAATACTGCATGAATTGGTAACAGTGATGCATGTTTCAGCTAAGAGAGTCGAGGTATGAGTATGTCATATTAATGTGTTGATACAAATGTTTCTTTTTCCAGGGCTACTTTTGTATTTCCTTCTTTCGCCAATGCCCTTCTTTTCCCGAGCAGAAATGCTTTGCCAGCATTACATCCCTTAAACAGTCCATTTCGAGCGAAGTTATGAGTTCTGTTTTCAATTTTGACGCATTGATCCTATCTTTCGAAGCCCTTAAATCCAATGCAACCCTGTTTTGCAGGTGTATAGGAACGAGTGGGCCACCATGCGTAACGGGATACCACGTATCTGGGTGTTTATAGCTCTCCCAGCTCTGTGTCTCTTCATGGCGTATGCTGCTGAGGATCTTCCAGCTGAGGTGCAGGGAAAGTGCATTTGAAAAAAGGGTATTCCCCACCCAAAGAGCAATGTGTGTGGATACGAATAAGCGTACAGTATTCTAGAGAAATGTAGAATACGCTTTTTCGTTTTTGTGGACAGTGAAATCTCGATATTTGCTATTTATTTATTTTAATGAAAAGCCTTGATTCTTTAAGAAATTTAATTCTGGAGATCGGTAGTTCAATGCCTGCACCTATGAGCTAGAGTCTCAACTTACTTTGGTTTTCATCCTATACGTTATAAACGTAATAAAGCTGCATGCGTGCCTATGAAGCCTCTGATTTAGCCTAGTAGTCGAGTGATCAGAAACCACTTTCGCATTCAGACGCCTACTGGGTTCGATCCCCGTTAAAGACGAAATTTATTTTTAAAAATAAGGCACGAAAGGGCACTAATGAGTTGAGAATGACTGCGTAGAGGGTTTGGAAATTTACCGCGGGCATGCAATACAAGGACTATTTCTTTCTTCTGGTAGAGGAATGGGACTCCAAAAACCTGGGATAAAATTAGACAGCATCGTCGGAGGATCCGAGATGACTTCAATCTGGATGTGGATGAGTTGCTTCGATTTTCGAGCGACAAGGAAGTCTTCACAAATAATGAGGAGAAGATTATTCGTGGAGTAGGTGATCTATCGGAGCGATTTGATAAGCTCTTCGACATCCTTTTCACCAAGAACGTGGATAGGATTCCCCTCTTCCTCGAGACCCTTTCTGCCATGGGGAGGAATGACATCAGGATGTTTTTACAAGGTATGAGAGATTTCCACCCCTGAAATTTCAGATTTAACTTACATATAGAGGTTTGGAAGGGCATTGAGGGAAACAACGTTTAAAATTGCCATTGCTTTTGTCTACAATGGTACGAAAGCTCGTTGTGCTACCATACATACTAGTGCTCAAAATTACCGTAAAACAACTCATGCCGGCGTAAGAAAGTTGGGCAGAATAAACCGTGATCTTCACTCTGCTAATTGCGAGGCCCCTGTCCAGGCCCTATACAGGAAGTGGCAACCCCTTTTGGCTGTGGCATCTCAGATAGTGTTCGCAATGTAGTTGAAGTTTTTTTTGGTAGTATTTGTGGGCCTTGGGGCGTAATTACTATAATTCAATGGGATCATGAAAAAGCAAGGATTACAGATTTGGCTTCACGAAAACTACGACCACGGAGCCTCATGAAATTGCATCATCTTCACGACAAAAGGACTCCGGAAGTGACAGTGACAGAATTGGGTGCGAATAAAGCAGCTCAGAAGAAGACAAAAAAGTCCGCAATAGAAAATATGACAATTGCATAAAATTAGGCTTTACAAAAATTGGCAACGACGAGGCGCCTCTTCCACTGTGTTGTTTGTTATGAAACTCTTAGCAATGAAGCAATGAAACCAACCAAACTGAAGCGTCATCTGGAAACTAATAATGTGTTTCCAAAGGACAANTCCATGAACGGGCTAAATGTGGGTGGTTGACCCGTTTACCTACTATGGGAATCCAGAAAATAAGCTGTCTGCACTGGAGGAGGACATTGATCTCATCAGCAATCGAGCCCTGAAAGAAGAAATGTCCGATCTAGCAATACCAACGTTTTCGTTGAAGATGAGCAAAGAATGTGAAAAATTAAGTTAGAAAGCTATCAAGCGACTTTTGCCCTTCCCGTGAACGTATCTCTGTGATTCAGCCTTTTCCGTCATGGAGAGTACGAAGACTAAGACTAGAAACCGACTTGATGCAACCGCAACCCTTCGTGTGGCCATATCATATATCCAAGCCAAGATTCAACATGTTAATGAGCGATGTCCCGGCCCAATTTTCTCACTAAAAATAAGAAAAAAATTAAATTGCTTTCAAGTCTGTAGAGGGACTCGGATCACTTTGCGGTTGTTAAGGTGGGCAGTGGAATCAATAAGATAGAGAACCTCTGGTTTAAAAGATACTGAGCCCTAAAGTTCGCCCACAATGGGAAAAGTCACCCCAAAAGTCAAATGGCTGTCTTTGGCCTTAGTTGAGCCAGGAAAAAAATGTTTGCTGACCTCAAATGAAAGCTGAGCCTAAGCCTAGATATCACAGATTTTCTCTCTCCTTAGTTAAACTTTTTTCTTTACTAGTACAAATACGATGCAGATTTTCTTAATTTTTATTTAAGTGGGAATCATGATAACACAATGAGCTCCTATTACGTTAAAAAACCATAGATTATAAATTGAAAATAGATGAATTTGAACTGCTTACTTTGAAATAACGGGAAGGTTAATTTGAAAACTGCAATTTTTTCGTTTTATATTTTATTCACCGATTTCATTTAATGTTTCAAACAAGACAAGAATGGGAAACGTGTCAAATGAAAGTTCCCTCTAGGGCACTTCTGGGGATGTTATTTATTCTGTTACTCCAAATGCTGTTTTCGTCGCAATATTTTGCGCTTCAAAATTTACCATTCAGCCAAATTTACCAAATTTTACCAAACTTTCTAAGCACGATGATCGTGGTGACAACCAGGCATACTCCAACAGAGACCAGTGAACAGCTGTTGTTCATTCATACCACATTGTTTCAAGCATGAGAGAATTATAGTCTGAAATTTCTGCAATTCCTGAAATTCCTTTTCCTTTTTACAGGAGGTCCACGCCTGAGTAAAAGTCTCCCCGCTTCCATCTTCCTTCCAGTTCCCGGTGGAGCTGGTTCTGGTATTTCCGCCACAGTTGACGCTGGGGATCGCTGGCCTGACCACCGACGGCTTCCCCTTATTGCTTTTCGAATTGGATTTCTCGTGGGTCTTAAAAGGAAAGAGGGCATTAAATTCCTCCATTACTGCTTCTTTGCATGCATTCTTGCTCTTCTCGATGTTTTCTTCGGAAGCCTTCGGGGAGATCTCACATACTTTCTAGAAGGCCTTCGTGGAGACCATTCAGGCCTTCGTGATAGCCTTGGAGACCTTCTTCAATGCGTTTCTAGGCAAGTCCCAGGATGCTTATTTGGATCCATCATCGGATATTTTTTTGGAAGAAAATTTGGATGTTACATAGACCATGAACCTTTTCTTAACCTTCTTTCTGAACTTCGCATTTTCCGTGGTCTCCAATGAAGGTAAAAGAAGAGCTCGACAATGTGCCCTCTTTTGAAGAATAACAATAATGTGTGCGAGTGATATGTAATAAAATTTAATTTCCATTGTATATGACTTGTTAATTTTAGGCCTCCAAACAGTATTATGTGAGGCGAAAAACAGGGCTTGAAAGTTACCAGCTTTGCAATTGGAATCTCACTTCTGTTCTTTCATTGCAGTTCGCCTTTTCTCTACAAAATTGAAGGCAACGACTCGGGCAAGCCCTGTCAAGTAACAGACCAATCATTTTTTTTAAAGTTAAATACATATTCGGAGCAGGAGGATGATGTTTCAGGTAATGTCGGATATGGGAAGGAGCACGACGAAGAGCACTGCCATATGTGGCATTGTACTGTTTCAGCCGGCAACCCTTTCTTTCCTGCCATGTACTGCTTTACATTATCATGAGAACGATGGATCCGCCAGCTACAACGGCTGGGGTGGAACTTACAACTCCAACTGCTCACATGACTTCCCAAGCGAAGCTGAGCGATGCGCAGGCGCCTAAAGATATATATCGAGGAGGACTGGGATTTGCTAGTGACTATCGGGCTGTTAACAAATGTCAAACTTTATAAAAGGTTGGCGGGTCTTGGCAGGGCATGCTTTCGCATTCAGTATGGCTGCTCCAATGATCCCGCGGTACCTGCTCCTTCACTCTGCCTATGCACACCGCAATCCTGCTTTAAACTCTATGAATCATTTCGCATGTGAATCGCGGCATTTTGCTAACCTATTCTCAATCGCTCTTTTTTGCCCTTAGCCAAAACTGAAGTGTTAAACCATATTCATAGTAAAAATAAGTCTTGAAACTACGCGATAGGGCACTCTGGTTCCTCTGAGAACCTATTGTGCGGGCTGCGTTGAGGCTGTTTTCCTAAGAGTTAGTATTTAGAAGAAAGTTGGGTTGAAAAATCGAGGGAAATCCAATAAGAGTGAATGGTGATTAGGGGCCATGAGCCCAACAAGTATGGCTTTAAATTACAGGACGCGTGCCTATACTGTTCCTATGGGTGAGATATCTCCAGTTTTTCTTAGCTCAATGGCTCTCGCATAGCCATAGTAACAGGTACACGCTGCGTGGCATAAGGCCATTAATGTTCGGAGGCGTACGCGGCGGGTTGCGATGCGACTTGCGTGCGGCCGCTAAAAAAGCCCGCATACCACATTGTTTTACGAGGCGACGATTTAAGGCAACGCTTTGACCTTTGGGTTGCCTTTTCATCTTTGCTCGGCGTCGGTTCCCCGTCCTTCACGAAGCCGATTAACGAAGAGCAGGGCAGACCGAGAAATTAAAGAAATTCTTCTCACATGGAGAGCCAGGGGGCAGAGGGCGGGAGTGTGGCGACCGCCTCCCATGGCCAAGTACGCACTCAAAGCCTTTAAATACTTCCGTGCTTTTCCACGGGCTACCTACTACTATGAATGAAGCCTGCAGGTCTCATTGACTCGTGATTATCTTCGGCACCCGATCAGTGAATGGAGCGAAGGAGGCGAATGCGTATGGAGTTGTTGAAAAAAAGATATCACCCCTATTTCATGATGGACGCTTAAAATCCCAGGATTTCCGACAGCAGGGGGAGGCATCACGGCGAGCGATGCCACCGCTCCCTTCCGATTATAGCGGCAACTCTCGTCTCCTCGTTCTTCCGAGAGATAGCGAGACGAGAGCGAATCTCCGATTTTTCGTGAAAATTGCATCCCCTACCTTTCCTGTGGCCGATTTGGAAATTTTATTTTGAAAGGCCACATCCTTGGATGATGGAGGAAGAGTTCTGTGGAAATCCCAAGTTCAAATCTCCTGTTTGTCACACACACACACAAACAAACGAAAAAAAAAAAACAAAAAAACAATTGTCGCTTGGCCTAGCTAGCGGCCAGAATCGCGCACGCTATATGAGAAGTAAAGAGAAGAAAAATAATTTCGTGAAATTCCAGAACCGAAATATTGCAACGCTTCGCGCGCCAGTGACATAAGTCAATGCTCATTTCAGCTGTTGTGCCACTTGGCGTTTTAGCACGTCAATGGACGCATGGTACTCATGAAGCAACAATTAAGTAATATTCCATTTTCTACCAAGGGTTGTAGGGAGTGGATGAAAAAATATTGTTTTCTTAAACGTTTCACAGCGTAGTTTCTCGAGTGTTTGAACATATTGCAATAGGGTCTACTTATAGACTATTTATGTAGCATTCTACTGATATCAATACATTTAAGAATCAATCCGTCATTCTGAAGCAGTTGCGCACAGGGTAACAGAGGTAGCGCTTGAAAAGTGCACTTACCTGTCCCTAACAATAAGTGCTCCAGGTGATGTCCATTCCTTCGCTTATACATGTAGTAGGCGACCTCTTGCATGCTCTAGCTGCCATCGCGGCACGGCACCAACTTTTCCACCGTCATATATTTTAGTCTTTACCTAATGCATGAAAATCATGTCACGAATCTTTATTCTGCAGTAGACATCATTAGAAGCTTAATGGATGCTTCATATGGAATCGCTATTGGAATTTTAGCAAACTCTAATGTGAAGTAATTAAGTTAACCGAATTTTTCTTGGCCCAGCCTGCAGTATGAAAGCAGTATACTGCTCGGAGCGCACCTTACAATCCCAGCGAGAATGCTCTCCGATAGACTCTGCTACACACCTTTTTGGTGTTAGCGCAAAGATGCGACACGGAGATCACTGGAAATGTATATTCTGCATGAGGGCTAGTGGCAAGTCTTAGAAGCATCGACGGCTAGTAGCGTGCTAAAGTCTATAGTACCAGGGAACTCCGCTTTGAGAAACCGCCGAAGGAACATGACGAGAAAGTGGAAAGAAAAGTCCTCAAAGGTGATGGATTTATGTGAGGGGGATAACGATATAAGGGTAGCCCAAATGAAAGTGGGACTGCTGTCGGTTTGACAAATGGTTTAATGGTATCGGTGTGGTAGGTTTACAGGATAAAGAGTGATACATGAGGAACATAATGGCTATACATAGTTGCCTTGAAGGTTGATACAGGCGTCCCAGCGGTCCACGAGATGATGAATACCCTGGGTGAGGAACCTCCGGGATTGGCTGTTGAACCATTCTTCAATCGCGACCCGGACCTCATTATTGTCTGCGAATTGCCGTCCTTTAAGAGCTTTCTTGAGTGGACCAAAGACATGGTAGTCGCAAGGTGAGAGGTCAGGGCTATACGGGGGATGTTCGAGGACTTCCCATCTAGTAAAGCGCCTCGAGGCTTTTGTCTCTTTTCCTTCATAAAAGGAAGCGGAACCTGATTGTGAGGCGTTCAAGGTGAACAAAAGGAACCAGGAAGCTGGTCGAGTAGGATCCACCCGTCCTCACGAAAGTGGCACGTGCGCGTGAAGGTATCAAGGTCAAGGAGCTTCGCCAGCAGGGGGGAAAGTACTGACTCGGACCGTTGACAATCGCGTCGTGCTCCAGGAGTTCATTGAACCATACCATACGCGGGAAAATCTCATTGGACTTATAAAATGGTACCTTAATGCCAGGACGTATACTGTCCACCCTATCACCACACATAACAGCTTCTGTCCCAACGAAAACGGGCAGACTCGCTCTCCGTTCAACTTGACTACATTTTAAAATTACTGTTTCTTTTCTAATTTTTCGATTGATGTATCACATGTACCATTTGACTGGTCGGATATCCTCATGGATAATTGGTAGTAATAAAAAGCAATTAGCAATCAGATGAATCATCGTTGAGATCGAAGAGGCTACCTAGTCCGATCAATAAAAGAGCAATAAAAGGAGAGCAATAAAAGGTAGAATCAAGGAAATTAATTACTTAAATTTTTTTATTTATTAATCAGTTGACACTATATTTTTTGTGACCATGACAATATGAGACCACTCTCACCTTCACACAATGTCTCCTTCATGATTAGGTGATTCGGTAAACTGCGTATTATATACATGGATTCTCATATTGGGGAAAATATGAGAATTTGGCATCAGCCTCATCTGAGAGTACCTGTGGCAAATGCCAATGTTTGTATTTTTTGACGTATTTTCTTCCCTTTTGAAGACAACGGCAATTAATAGATAATAGCTAATCTCCGATTTCTAATGAAAATTTGCCTTCCATATTGCCGATTTGCAAATTTAATTTCAAAAAGGATGGTAAGGATGATGAGGATGATAAGGAAGAGTTATATTGGAACCCCAAGTTCATATCCCTAAACGTTTGGCCTGTAGAGTTGCCACACTGACACACACAAACAATAAATCGCTCGGCCTAGCTAGAGGCCAGGACCGCGAAAGCTAACCTCCAGACCTCGGTTTTTTACAACCGAGGTCCTCTGGTTTGAGTCATATTGCTTTTCAAGAAGGAGGCGCACGGTATCCAGGGCAGGACGAGCGAGTTGATCAGTTGAGTGTGGGCAACGAGTACTGGTCAATGGTCATAGAAGTCGGGGTCGCAAGCGGTGTCTCTCAGGGCTCGGTCCTGCGATAACTTCTGTTTCTCGTCTACATAAGCGATTTGGATGTAGGTGTAGGTGGTCAAATAAATTTGCCGACGACACCAAAATATGCTTTAAATAGATAGGGCTAGAGCCGAGCGAGATTTAAGCCTTTTGGATGAGTGGTGCAAGAAAAGGCTCATGAGGTTTAATAAAAGTAAATGTAAACGTCGGTAGAAGTAACGCAGGTCTCTAATGGCGTTCGGCAAGGATAAATTGATGGAGCAAATGGAGAGAATGATCTAGGAGATTCCGTAAACAAAGACCTCTACGTTTCATCTCACACGCAAGCAATGTTGGCTAAATTTAACAGGATGCTAGGATTCATTCGTCATTCAGTTGCAAGTAGGAACTCGGGCATTATTCTTTCGTTGTATTCGGTGCTTGTAAGACCCCAGTTGCCGTATTGCATCTAGTTTTAGAGGCCTACAAATAAGGCC